CTTCCCTTTCCCAGCTGATAACCCTTGAAATGATCCCCATACCTATGATTTTGTTCATGTTCTGGTTGTTTGCTTAGATTGTTTTTGTTTTTGTTTTTTAGATTCAGTTGCTGATAACTGTGACTTTGTTGCCATATAAATTTTCATAGTTTTGATCTTCTTTTTCTTAGACAAGTCCCTTTAACATTTCATGTAATAATAGGCTGGTGACGATGAACTACTTTAGCTTTACCTTGTCTGCGAAGCACTTTATCTGCCCTTCCATTCTAAATGACAGCTTTGCTGGATGGAGTCATCTTTGTTGTAGGTCCTTGCCTTTCATCACTTCGAATACTTCTTGGCAGCCCCTTCTTGCCTGCAAAGTTTCTTTTGAGAAATCTGCTGATAGTCTTATGGGAACTCCCTGGTAGGTAACTCTGCTTTTCTCTTGCTGCTTTTAGGATTCTCTCCTTATCTTTAATCTTGGGTAATGTAATTATGGTGTGTCCTGGTGTGTTCCTCTTTGGATCTGACTTGTTTGGGACTCTCTGTGTTTCCTAGACTTGTATGTCTATTTCCTTTGCCAAATTAGAGAAGTTTTTTTTCATTATTTTTTCAAATAAGTTTTCAATTTCTTACTCTTCCTCTTCTCCTTCTGGCACCCCTATGATTCAGATGTTGGTACATTTAAAGTTGTCCCAGAGGTTCCTAAGCCTCTACTTGTTTTTTTTGTTTGTTTGTTTGGGTTTGTTTTGTTTTGTTTTTTGGGTTTTTTTTTTTTTTGATTTCTTGTTTCTTCTGTCTCTTCTAGGTAATGTTTATTTCATCTTGTTTCAAATCATTAATCTGAATGCTGGCTACCTTCCCTTCACCATTGGGTCCCTGTATATTCTTCTTTATTTCACTTTGTGTAAACTTCATTTCTTCCTTTATTTTGTGGCTGCACTCAATGATTTCTCTGAGCATCCTGATCACCAGTATTTGGAACTCTGTATCTGATAGGTTGGCTATCTCCATTTCACTTAGTTCTTTTTCTGGGGTTTTGTTCTGTTCTTTCATTTGGCCAACATTCCTTTGCCTCCTCAATTTGGCAGCCTCCCTGTCTTTGTTTCTGTGCATTAGATACGCACAGAAACGAACTCCATGCTTTGACTCGGTGTCTTGGTAGTATGGCCTAATGTAGTAGGTGTCCTATACAGTCCAGTGGCACAGCCTCCCCTATGATCCAAGCTGGGTATTTGATGTGTGCCCTTTGTGTGGGCCAAGTACATTCTCCTCTTATAGTTGAGCCTTGGTTGTTGTTGGCAGATCAACAGGTGTGATTTACCCAGGCCAGTCAGCTGTAAGTGGCTATGACCACTTACCACCAACCTCCACCCTCCATGGAGAATCATCTGTGCAGGGTCAGGGTGGTGGTGCTCTGACGTGGTCTGTAGTTGTCCACTGGGTGTACTGGGCCCTGCAGTTTCCCAGGTACTGCAGGCCAAGGTCAGCCGCCACCTGTGTTTTGCATGGGGCTGCCCTTTCTGAGCTACAAAACAATCTGAGATTGCTGCTACTTGGACTGGGCTTGGAAATTCCCTGGCGAAGCCAAGCTGCGCATCTAGGCTGATTGCTGCTAGGGCCAGGCCTGGAGCTCACTGAGGCCAGCTGTTTCTCATTTGCTAGGATTTAGGTTGTTGTGAAATATGAGCCAAGACCAGCCATTCATATGGGACAGCAGCATGAGTGGGCCTGTAAGTTGGGTGAGATGGAGTCTTAGGGGATCTCCAAGGCAGGTAAACAGTGTTATCCAGGTTGATGGAGTCTCAGATACGGTACCAGCTTGCCAGTTCTGTGGCAGGATGGGTTAGAAAAGGGACAAAAGCCTCTGCTTGCCTTGATGCCAGACCTTCAGTTTCTCCCTGTATGCCACTGGTGCCTTTTAAGCTATTGCCCCAGTGCTGAAGCTCGGAGGGAGTAAGTCTGAGTAGGTGAGTCCATATGTGGATTCTTTAAGAGAAACCACTTGGGGCTCCAGAAGTTTCTTCCAGTGACTCAATCCCCACTGATTTTTGCAGCCAGATGTTGTGGGGACTTATCTTCTTGGCACTGGAACACTGGGATGGCGGGGGGGGCCTGGTGTGGGTCTGGGACTCCTCACCTCTGAAATATATCTCCTGAATTTTTCCCTCCACACATGGGTGAGAGACCAGCCAGCTCCATGTCTGCACCCCTCCTATCAGTCTAGATGGATGTGGATTCCTTAATTCTTTAGTTGTCAGACTTCTATTCAACTCAATTTCTGATGGTTCTGAGTGATAGTTGTTCTATATTTTAGTTGTAATTTTGATATGGCTGTGCAAGGAGGAAAGCCATGTCTGCCTACATTGCCATATTGATGAGATCAGGCAAAAAAAAATTTTTATGGAGGAATAAAAATCCACAAAAGTCAACATTTCGAAAGAAAGGAGGAGGAATATGCCTTACTAGGAATTAAGACTTACTACACAGTCATAATAATAAAACAGTGTCAAATTACTGTAACAACAAATAGATCAGTGAAATATAATGGAGAGCTTAGACATAGAACCATGTAGATATGGGCACTTAGTATACAACAAAGGGGCACCACATATCAATGGAAAATGTTACAAACCTAGCTCATACCTTAGATTAAAACAAACCTGGATCTTTATCTAAAACTACATCAAAGGTAGACTCCAAATGAACAAAGACCTGAATGTGAAACTTAAAAAGAACTTTAAGATTTCTTTTCAGTGAAAGGTGCCATGAACAAAGTTAACAGACAGATAACAGTTTGAAAGAAATTATTTGCAATGTCTAAAACCAACAATAGACTAATATCTAGATTATATAAGGTATTCCTTCAAGTCAAAAATATTTTTAAAATAGGGATATTATTTGAATAAGCAATTTATGGAGTCAGTAATAAAAATGGCTTAGAAATATGTATAGAGATACTAAAACATTACTACTACTACTGCTGCTGCTGCTGCTGCTGCTGCTACTACTACTACTATATCCTGTAGAGAATTTTTATAAAAGGTTTTTTTTGAGCCAAACCAATGATATATGCCAGGAAGCGCAAGATCTCAAATGCTACTACTTCTACTACTACTACTATATCCTGTAGAGAATTTTTATAAAAGGTTTTTTTTTTTGAGCCAAACCAATGATATATGCCAGGAAGCAAGATCTCAAATGCTTCTAAAACTTATTATTAATTAGGGAAATATAAATTGAAATACCAGTGAAATAGACTGAATAATGCTAGCTGTTGGCAGTGATGGATGTGGGTTTAGGAAACCTCACACACTCCTGGTGAAAAGTAAAGTGGTATAGCTGATTCAATGAATGATCTCGTATTTAGTCAAACCAAGTATACATATACATGCAGAACATACAGTAAAAAGCAAATAGAAATTATATCAGTTAGTTCTACTTCCATTTGAATAACAGAAAAACTCAATTCAAACTTTATTAAATGCAAAAAGGAATTTATTGCTTCATGTAATTTAGAAGTCCTGGATGGATCTTGCTGGCAATACTCAAAGTGTATTATCCAGATTGAGTGAGTGTCTCAGTCCCTCAGCTCTGCTTTCCTCTCTGTTGGCTCCATTTTGAGGAGACTTGACAGACTTTTTGACATATAGGTGTAAGATGGCTGCAGCAGCTCAGCCCACATGCTTCCAGGTTCAAATCTCAAAGTGCAGGGGGAGAAGAACATGGAATGATGTCTCTATACTGGTTTCCACAAGAATCCTGATATTCATTCTGCCTTAGCCCAGGTTACATGTCTACCCACTCCTGCCTAGTAATATCCAAATAACATTCTTCACCCTCAGGGTCAAAGGTTAGACCCTCCATCCCAACCTCACCACATAAAATAAGAATGGGCAATTGGTGAATTCCCACATGAAAATCAGTGACTGTTGGAGAAGACAGAACATAGACAAAAGAGACGAACAATAAATGTACCTAGAAAAATTGTTACTATTTTAGTATTTAAATTAATCATTCACTATTCCCCTAAAGCTACTCTTTTCTTAAAACAGATAAAAACCTTTTCCCTCATCTCCTAGAATTAGTAAAGAAATACCACAGACCACATTATACCCTAAAGGGATCACCAATAATTTCCATGATCTCAGGGAGAGGAGTCAACTGCAGAAGGAAAAGTCCTTAAAAAGAAGAAGTTATATATTTCTACTCATCTCCTGATGGAAACACATGCATCTGTAAAAATTATATCAAAATAAGAGTGCCTGATATTGGGATAAGCATTCTGTAATTTCATAATTATATAATACTAGTAGTTAACATATATCGAGCACCTGCTATAATGCCAGAAAGTGTCATGTCATTGACATAAAATTCATATAATGCACTCTATAACTGTGCACTGTATATATTATCATCCTTACTTTAAAGGTAAGAAAACAGAATCAGGGAGGTTAAGAAATTTGCTCAGAGTGACAGAGCTGGTAACTAGAGGAGCCAGTAGTCAAACACAAGTCTGTGAAACTTCTGAGACTGCTCTCAACACTATACCATGGATTTTGTGATCTTGACAACAATTAAAGCATCAATATTGTGACCATAGTGTTATTTAAATTCAGCCATTTCATATACATCATCTAAGAAGTTCAATAATAATCAATTTCATGGGAAAAAGAAAAAGATTAGTTGAGGATTACTAAATCCATTCTGTAAAAAAGACCTGCAAGTAATTTTCCATGAATTGCTTTAGGCATGAAAATACATGAAATACTACCAGAGAACACTTTACAAGAGTAACTGATGGCCTGATTAGAAAAATGATTAAATAAATTAAACAAGTAGAATCTGAGTAATATAAATTAAAATAATTAAACAAATATTGAGCACACAACTACCTTGATGTCTCAAGAATTCCACACAACAGGAGAGAAATCATCCTGAAAAAGCCAAAATCCAAAAGACAAAGACAAAATATGTCAGCTCCAGACAATACACTGGTTTAAAAGTCAACACTCTGAGTGCTCGCTTTGGCAGCACATATACTCAAATTGGGAGGACACAGAGAAGATTAGCATGGCTCCCGCACAAGGATGACACACAAATCTGTAAAGCATTCTGTATTTTAAATAAATAAAAATAAAAGTTAACACTGTGGGATGTCACAAAATGTTTTTCTTTCTTTCCCTGGGAGACTTTGCTCCAACTTGTCTGGATATTCTAAAATGAGATAAATCCTTGGAAATAAATGCTCTAAGAAACAAAGAAATCAGGCCATACTTTAGGAGATGCTGATAAAGTGAGTAGAAATGTTGGTGGGGCAAAAGTGTACCTCTACCTCAACAAGATCACCATGATGTGAGTAACTATGAGGTTAACAAAAAGAGCATGATTAGACTCATAAAAATCACACTTTAAGGACTATGGAACATTGGGTCTTAGTGAATCTTCTGGACCTATGGTACTTTAGAGTCCTGAATGATTGTTACTAACTTTCTCTATAAGCAGAAATTGTCAAAACGTGACACTTTAACTCCAGAGTGGTTCAGATGATGTTCACCTTCTGAACCCATCATTTCCCAGGTTAATAGACTACGCAACCGTTCTGGCCACACTGCTATGCCATGTACGCTACTTTGGGCCCTCCCTTGATTATACTGAGGTCAAGGGTGTGGTGTACTCAAAGTCTGCAGCTAGGCTATATGGTGTGGGTGGTGAATTATGATGGGTAAGTAACCAGGAGGCTTGCAAGAGAAGACTAAAGCCAAAGCCAATAAAAAGTGGTCGCAGAGCACATAGAGGGGTCGTCTGTTCAGTGAGTTTAGGAAATGTAGTGAGATTCCCATGAGACAGAACAGGTACTGACCCTCAGCATGAGGAATTTAAGGATGTAAGTTTCCCCAAAGCTCAGGAATCAGGATCAGGTCATCTGTGCTGCTAGCCTAGCTTTGATACTTCTCTGTTGGGATAACAAGGTCTCTACGTGGTTCCTTGTGCTAGAGTGTCTCATGTTAGGAACTCTACTTGGTATTTCAGCCTTTCCTACTTTCCATCACAAAATTCTGGCTGAAATATGACCCTGGTATTGTTGATACCAACTCCCCACCACCTGCCCATCTAAACTCCGTTCCTGGTTTCCTGGTTTCCTGGTTTCTCCATCATTTTCATCTAACCACCCATCATGCCCTACTTCCTACTTTATTAAGCTTACCCCTCCCAAAGCTATCTGCCAAGATTCTAAACTATTGCCTCTTGTTCTTCACCCTCCTTCATCCCCCACATTGGCTGTATCTTCGAGTCTACTTTTGAAATATCTGCCCCTTCAATCCCACTGCAACACTTTTGTCTGAAACCTCTGTGTCTCTATTTTTTTCAAGTTGCCAGCTACCTTTCCTGTATCAAAACTCAATTCATTGTCCATATTCTTAGTAGAACTACTTTAACTAAAATAATCTGATCCTGTCATTTTTCTGCTTAAAAACTCCTTAGCTGCTAACCAATGTAAACAGGTTAATATCTACTTTACTTACCATGGCTTTCAAGACCTTCCCATAAGGCCTTTCAGGTCCATCTCCTCCTCTTCTTTCCCACATAAGCCAATAAGTGCATTCATTAGACCTTGGCTCAAACATCACCTCTTATGATCTGTCTAAAAGAGAGTTAATTAAAATAAAGGGGTGGGACTGCACCAAACTAAGCATCTCTGCACAGCAAAGGAAACAATCAATAAATTGAAAAGGCAACCTACAGAATGAGAGAAAATATTTATAAGTCATATATCTGATAAGGGGTTAATATAAAAAATACATAAAGAACTCACGCAAGTCAATAAAAAAAGCAAATAATCCAATTAAACACAGGCAAAGGATCTAAATAGATGTTTTTGCAAAAAAGACATACAAATGGCCAATAGGTACAGGCAAAGGGGCTTAACATCACTAATCATCTGGCAAGTGCAAATCAAAACCACAATGAGATATCACCTCACTCCAGTTTGGCTGGTTATTAACCAAAAGACAGGAGATAACAAGAAGTGGTGAGATGGGGATAAAAGGGAATCCTGCTCACTACTGGTAGGAATGTAAATGGTACAGCTTTTATGGAAAACAGTATGAAGGTTCCCCAAATAATTAAAAATATAATGGCCTTATAATCCAGCAATCCACTCCTGGGTATAAATCTAAGAGAGCGAAATCATGTATCTCAAAGACATCTGCAATCCTGTGTTCACTGAAGTGTTATTCATAATAAGTAAGGTGTAGAACAACCAAAACACCCTTCAATGGGTGAATGGATAAAGATACTGTAAAATGTGCCCTGGCTGGTGTGGCTCAATGGATTGAGTGTCAACCTGTGAATCAAAAGGTCACTGGTTTGATTCCCAGTCACGGCACATGCTTGGGTTGCAGGCCAGGTCCCCAGTTGGGGATATGTGAGAGGCAACCAGTTGATGTATCTCTCACACATCAATGTTCTCTCCCTCTCCTTCTCCCTCCCTTCCCCTCTCTCTAAAAAAAATAAAATCTTTTTTTAAAAAAAAGATATTGTAAAATGTATTTATAAAATAGAATATTATTCAGCTGTGAAAAAAGAAAATCTTGCCTTTTGTGACAACATGGAGAGCATTATTCCAAGTGAATTATGTCAGACAGAGAAAGACAAATACTGTATGTTATCATATATACATACCTGCATGGGATCTAAAAAAAAAAGCCAATTTCATAGAAACAGAGAATAGAAACATGGTTTCCAGGAGCTAGGAGTAAGGGAATGGGGAAATGTAGGTCAAAGAGTACAAGTTTTCAGTTATAAGCAAAATAAGCTCTGAGGACCTAATGTTAAGCATGATGAATATAGTCAATAATATGATATTGTATATCTGAAAGTTGCTGACAGTGTATTTTAAGCATTCCTACCACACAAAAAGAAAGAGTTAACCATACAATGTGATTAACTTTTTAATGTTGGTAATCATTCCACAATGTATATGTGTATCAAATCATCATACTCTGTACTTTAAATATATATAGTTGTATTTATCAATTATTCCTCAATAAAGGGGGGAAATGTTAAAAATACAAGTGAACGAGTTGCTTCCTCAGCTGTTCTTCCATACTGACTTATAAAAGCCTTGATTATAACACACATCACATTGTTTACATGTCTGCTTTCTTCGTTAGATTAAGAATTCTTTGAGGACAGGGAGCATGTCTTCTTCATTGATAGCCCTTGAACAAGCAGGGTGACTGGTGAGAAGTCAGCTGGCAACAAATGCTTGTTGAATGAATAAATGCTTCATTCATTTCTTAATTCCCTCACCTACCTCTTAATTGGAACTTCCCTAAGATACCTGCAGAAAACGTCCCTCCAGAATACATTCTAAACTATCAGTCTATGATATCCCTGTACTCCAAGGGATCATGTAAAAAAGAGGAGTAGGAGTTTCCAAGTTCCAAACCCTCCTGATCTTCCATGTTTTCCTGAAATTATTTGCCTAATTCTAGACCTGTCTGAATGATGACATTGGTAAAATCTGGTCAGAACCACTACTATGTCTCTGACCTGGCTTGCTCCTAGATTCTTGTTTTTTCCAATGTCCTACTGCTGCACCACTCTGTCACCAAACTCACTGTTCTTGTGGGACATAAAATGATAACTGGTTCATCTTTTACTACTGATACTAGTCATTTCTAATATGGCCACTCTAAAAATCTCACAATCTGTCTGTTCATAACCATTCAAAAGTAAATCATGAAGCTTTTTCCTTAACTACATGTGGTAATCTGTTGCTTTTCTATCATTCCATTATTTTTTCTGTTATTGCTTTTGTTCCTGATTATTAGAAAAATAATTTCTTATAACACAGTTACTGCATAGATGTAATTCCCTTCACATACACCCTAGAATGCTCTGGCCATCTCTGTAATTGTATCTGAGGGATTCAACAAACCACCATAATTTTTTAGAAAAATATTAGCTTATTGATATAAGCACTTTCTTGAGACTGTCTTCATTATTCTAAAGATTTATTTTTCATGGTAATTTTCTCTATTCTGTCTGTGTCACACAAATTTCATTGTGTGTATGTGTGTGTGTATCCAGTTACTTCTGCATCTGCATAAACTTAAATGTGTTTGGGGGGGGGGGGGGGGAGAGAGAGAGAGAGAGAGAGAGAGAATATCAAGAAAGCAGAATCTGAGGTCTCTATAGGTAACATGAAATTTTTTCTTGGGATCAACAGTGCTTTCCTTCACTACTATCTGGGCAAAGGCAAGCTCACAGTAGATCTGTCCTTGCCTAATATTGCTCCACCACTGTATGATTAAGCAGGAACATCAGCTACAACTATGCCAAGGAATCCGCAAGAATATTCAACCTAAAAAAATTTCAACCCCAAAACAGCACCTCCCAGGAGATGACTTCAGCTCCTTTAGGAAATCTTTTAACCACAAATTCCAACTCCCCTTCACTCCTACAGCCTCAGTCACACATCTCAAAGGGCTGTTCCCTTAAACTGGGACAACCTGACCCACATCAGCAGCCCAGAGGCATTATGGCAACATAATGCCTTCTCAACCCATTGGAAGGGAAAAAGAGGGACAAACAATTGAATGATTATAATTGAAATCCTATAATTTGTGATTTGTCAATAACTACTGACTGTGGAGTTTTCTTCGCCCCTTAACAAATCCTGGCAGCCACAATATGTAACTGTAGACATCAAAACACATCTGAAATCATTTCATTGTCTTGTAATATATCTTGTAACAACAAAATGAAGATGAAGTTCTCTCTGAGGATAGGAAAGATGTATCTCCAAGTTTACTATTTAATGAATACTAATCTTAAAACTTAAGCAAAAAAAAATCCTTTGGGATGCTGAACGTAAAAAGCTGATATGCCAGTCCTGACTGGTGTAGCTCAGTGGGTTGTGCGTCGTCCCGCAAACTGACTTTTGGTTAAGGCACATGCCTGGGTTGTGGACCAGGTCCCCAGTTGGGGTCGTGCGAGTGACACTGATCAATGTTTCTCTCGCACATCGATGTTTCTCTCCCTTTTTTTCTCCCTCCCTTCCCCTCTCTCTAAAAATAAAATCTTTTGTTAAAAAAAGCTAATATGCCAGAGGGA